CGCAAGTAAACATTTTATTTATATAAATTCAATTGCAATGGTGATAAAAATTTGTGAGTCCTCTAAAATTATTTGTAATCCTATAGTTCTGTGACCTAAATTGTGATCAAAACTTCATCTAAGTCCTAATAATAAAGAACAATGCCCCAAAATAAAGTACTGTGTCATGTTTTTGCTGAACACAATAAGCCAATCTTCATGGTTTTTATTGGAAAATGTGAATTTTAACATTTGGTAACTTTGGGTAGAAATATAAGCGATTTCTCTTTAAATTGTTACTCCTTTTTGGCTTTAAATGTAATAACTGGTAGTATCTTGTTAGCAATGGCCTCAACTAAACATTTCCTGCACTAATAATAATAATGATGATGATGGTGGTGGTGGTGGTATGGTGGTGGAGGAGGAAGGGACCTTGGAGGTCATCTAGTCCAACCCCCTGCTCAGGCAGGAAACCCTATACCAGTTCAGATAAACTCTGATTTAATTGTTCTGTCAGAAAATTTCTCCTTAGTTCTAGGTTGTCTCTCTCTTTGATTACTTTCCATTCATTGCTTCTTGTTCTGCCTTCAGGACTTTGGAGAATAGTTTGACTTCCTCTTCTTTGTGGCAATCCCTGAGATATTGGAATACTGCTATCATGTCATCCCTCGTCCTTCTTTTCATTAGATTAGACATACTCAATTCCAGCAACCGTTCCTTATGTTTTAGCCTCCAGTCCCCTAATCATCTCTTTTGCTCTTCTCTGTACTCTTTCTAGAGTCTCAGCTTATTTTTTACATTGTGCTGATCCTTCCTGTTTTATCAGCTTAAATTATTATAGACCATTCCTGCTTTAACAGACATTTATGGGTTTCTTGCATGAACTGCTCATTTCATGTTATGCTGCAAAATTTCAGCTGAGTTAAGATCAGAGCTTTGACTTAGCAATTTCAAATTGCAAAATTTCTTCTGCTTCAGCCATTCTGTTGTAGTTTTACTGGTGTGTTTAGGGTTATTGTTGTACTGTATGACCCACATTTGTTTAAGCTTTAGTTCATGGATGGAAACCCTGACAAGCTGCAGTAGAATTTTCTAGTACAACCCAGAATCCATTGTTCTTTCAGTAATTGAAACTGTCTGAGTTGTGAGACTGCAAACCAACTCTGAAGTATGTGTCATGCTTCAAAATCATGATTCAGTTCTGTTGAAATGAAATATTTCATTTTCTCACTAATAGAGAAATTATTCAAAGTTCTTTTTTAGTTATAGCTATCCACAGAACATTGTTCTAGTAGTCTGCTGGATCATCCAAATCATCTTTGGCAAACCTGAGTGGGTAATAATATACTTTCTGGAGAATAGTTGTTTGTTGTTTTCCTTATGGTGAACTAATAAACATTATGACATCAAACAATGCTACAATGGCCTGCAGATCCTTTAGATTCACCCTTGGGATATTATACATATTGTTCTTGAAGCACATTTTTTCTCTATTTGTACATTATCTGCCTGCTCTTGGATTGATGGTGATCAAAGTCGTTGACAATGGTTTTGTCATCCCTCCTTGCCTTATTGGCATTAACTCTTTTCTGAGGCCACAGAGAGCTTTTTTGATCAAAGTGGGATTCATTTCCATAGATCTATTTCATGGTAAGTAAACTCCAGTGTTATTTAACCAATGTGCTTTTTTAACATGAAAGGTCCCCTCAAACTCATAGATAACTGATCTCTCAAGACTTGGAACATTTGACAGCTGGTTATCTTAGGGTTAAACTTAACAATGTATGGTCACAGACCCAGGAAGTCAATAGTTTGTTTTTTTTAAAAGATAGTCATTATTGACTCAATGTGTTTGATAGAGACACGACACAATGTACTGTTTTGTTTGTTTAACCAGAGTATATTAACAGAATTTAGATGATGCTCTGAGCACATTGTACCTCTCACAGTACTGCAGGATTACAAAGAGTTCTAAATAGGTCACAAACTGTATTTGCTCTAATTTTTGTCATTTATAATTTTCAATCATGCACACCATTTTATCCCTTAGACACAATTATTTTGGTATCGTACAATTTTCAAATCTGCATCAAACAGTCTATTTAGCATTCACTGAAAGTCATTTCTCTTCTCAGCCAAAAACATGGTATCATCCACATACAAGAAGCACTTAACATTTACTGCTGCTGCCAAAACACCTCTATTATCACAAGCATTTCTTATATCTCCATCAGTACATTAAATAACCAATAGGATTTCACACATTCTAATCTTACCTTAAAATTCTAATTTTACATTTACATTTACATTCTAGTCTTATCTTTAAAAAATCCCGACAATGAGGACAATTATCCAGTGGAACGATTTTCTTTCAGAAGTTGCAGGTGCTCAATCACTGGAGACTTTTAAGTGGAGAGTTGGCGGCCACTTGTCTGAAATGGTTTAGGGCAGGGGTCTACAACCTTGACAACTTTAAGACTTGTGGACTTCAGCTCCCAGAACTCCTCAGCCAGCTATGTCCACAAATCTTAAAGTTGTCAAGGTTGCAGACCCCTGGTTTAGGGTCTCCTGCTTCAACTCCAAGGTCCCTTCCAACTCTCTTATTCTGTTACCCTTTGTTCAATGCTAACTATTCCTGAAGCATTCTCTTTATTTTCATGCCTGCTTTGCTTCCGCTCTATACTACACAGTCAGAAACTACCTTTAATTCCTCATTTCCTCAAAACATTTTGAAATTTAAATCCCATCCACTTTATTCTACATTTTCTCTGCATTGATTTATATAACAAATCTGCTCACTTAGATTTCTGTATTATCTGGAGTGCAAAAATCTGGGCTGCACAACCCATACCTGGCATAAAGCTGAAATTGCATTTCCAAAATGTTGCTGTCACCTCTCAAACCCTTTTACCAGAGTTCTGCAAGTCCCTTTCCAGACACATATAAAAAATTAATGTTTCTGTTGAATAGGGTAAGAGTAATAGTAATATATCAATTAAGAATCAATGAAATCTTTGCACATAATAACTATATAGTTTACTCCATGAAAATACCATATCCATGTTTTAACATTTTTCCAACTAGATTAGTACATTTGTATTGTGCTCTTTTCTTTTATCAAAACTATTTCCTAATATTCTCATTTTGATCATCTAAAAAAGCTCAGTAGAAAGCCCAAAGCCTTCATTATGCATATGCAGAGTAAATGTATTATTATTTTGGCTAGCATAGCAGATCCCTAAACTCTTATGTGACATTTACATAGACAATAATGACAACTACATGAAAAATTTCCCGCAAGTACTTATTCTAATTAAACTCATGTTCCATATCATAATCTATGATATTAACATAAGAACTGACTTTATGTAACAGCTCTATTTCAAGGTTTCTCAGATTATGTAGAAGAAATGTAAGAAGGGTTGAATATGAGTTGAAAGGGGCATTTAGGTTCTGTACCAAATATCAAATTATAGTGGTCCAGTCATGAATGTTAAGGCCTCTTTGAACACAACCAGCAAAGGTGATCCCACACCTACTTTGGATAATTAGAATTTTTCTAATAGTGAATCAGAATTTATTTTGAATCCTTTTTTTTTTTTTTTTGCTCTGAACCCGGGAATAATACAGAATGTATTTTGGTTATCTGTGTTACTTCTTGGTACATATTTGAGCCACCCCCAGTTTTATCAAGGCTAAACAATCCAAATGACTTAAAACCATTCTTTATAGGACTTAAAGTCATTTCAAGTGAATGGCTTTGTTTTTAGTTATCAGCTCAGCTAATCCTCAAATATAAGAAAAAAAATAACCTAATCAAGGTCTTATAAAGTTACATTACAACAAAATATTTTATTTATGATTTTACCAAATTGTCAATTTCTTTTTGATTCCTTAACGCATAAGATTTCAAATACATTATTGCTATGGACAGAATTTAAATATATCCTTTTTTATAGAGTCCTTAGTGCTCTCTGAGCTCAGTTGTTTGCTTGCAGACATTTCATTTCATTGTAGACATTATTAAGGATTACTTAGTTCAACCCTGAGCTACATATATTCTCCTCTATTGGATACTTATTTATGAAAGTTATATTTCTGAATATAACACATAATCTTGTGGTTTGCGTTTATTGAATACAGAAAGTTATGAGAAAATATGTCCTGACTTTTTTTTAAACTTCCTGACTTAGGATTTCCTAGTGGTCTCCCATCCAAATATTAACCAGTTCTAAACCTGTTTAGCTTTTTGAGATCAGTCAGAGTAGGCTAGTTTCTGCCTCTATTTAAGACTCCTGAATTACATGCAAAGATACAAAATACAATTGAGATCTCTTTTGTTAATTAAGCAGGTCTTGAAAAGGTTAATCTTTTATCAAAAATGTGTGTATTACCCAAGAATTAATAAAGAATCAATAAATCTGCAATACAATTCTGTTACAAGTGGATAACACTTGACCTTAGTTATGGCATAATAAATCTTAATTTTTTAAAAAAAACTGCATTCTTTCATTAACCTCAAATTTGTTAGATAATGCCATACATGCATCATATTTTCCAAATTCTAGTGATAGTTCAAAGGCACATTTATAAAAATATGTAAGAGCAACATGACACAGGCATATCTGTTATTGTTAGGGCTATGCAAAACATTCAAATGAAACATCTCTCCTAAAATTATTAAAGCAACAATCTTCTGCAAGTGTAGTATAGCTGATTCCAAAGCTGTTCCTAGCTATCTGCATGCACAGTTGCTTTACTGAGGAGAAAGCACATTGTGAAGCACTTCATTCAAAAGCTTTGTACAGCCCTAATACTTGTCGAGCATGTAATGATCGTTAGAAGTGATCCCTTGAGATCAAACTGCCTTTTAGCATGGAACACAGATTCTTTTAAATAAAGTTCAGTGTAGTTAATTATAGCAACAACTGTGCATTCTATAATATGTACATAATCAAAATGAACTTGAATAGAGAACTTATATCTTCTCCAGTTTAGTGAATATTGAAATAAAACATTACCTGGGCTTGCTGATTCAACTGATGGCTGTCCAAAAGAGAAAAAGAAAATGGTATCAGTAATAACACAAATTATAACTTTAAACTTTTATTTAAATCAAGAAATATAATTATCTAGAAAATGTCTGATATCTGATTTGTTACAAAAAGAAAAATATACACATTATGTAAATATTTGCAATGATTATTTTTACCCATAGGTAAAATACAGGTAGTTCTTGTCATACAACTCCCCCAAAACATACTTATTACCCAGTTACAAAATTCCAATGGCCAGGTCCCCCCCCCCCGTCACATGGTTGCATTCTGGGCACCCAGTAACTGGCTCACATTTATAGCCATTATGTGACCACAATTTATGATGGTTTTGCTGAAAACCTATGTTACTTTCGGTTTGGGCAAAATGCCCTATAGTGAATAAGACATTTGCTTAATGACTGTAAATTAACTTAATGACCATGCTGATTTGTTTAATAACTGCTACAAAAGGTCATAAATTTGGGTTGGGCATGTGATGAACTGCTTTACAACTGTCTCAACTTATGACTGTAATGGGCAAGCTCCATTATAGTCATAAATCAAGGACTACATGTAATTAAAGGGGGAAAAATCTTACAGTTGCATCACAAGCAAACTAGCAGCAAAATGGCTAGAGCAGTGGTGGCGAACCTATGGCACGTGTGCCAGAAGCGGCACTCAGACTCCTTTCTGTGGGCACACATGCCGCGCCCCAGAGATGGCAAGGGACTGGCCCCTGCCACCCTGGCCCCACCCACCCAGTCTGCCATGATAAATAAGTGGGTTTGGGGTTGCAGTTTGGACCCTGGGTCTCTAAAAAGGTTCGCCATCACAGGGCTAGAGCTAAGCTCTTAAAATATTATTAGCCTAAATGCTCAAACACACAATTGTTAAGAAAACTAACAGATATTTCAAATTTCTAATACTCAAGATTATTCTTTGGCAGTGCTTTTTTTGTAAAAAAAAAAAAAAGGTGTCGGAATTCATGCACATCATACAACCCGCCTTGCCTACCCTACAAGGTTCCATCCAAAAAAGGTGCCGGAACTCTGTTCTGGGCGTTCTATGAGAAAAAAAGCCCTGCTCTTTGGTAAACTGAAACTTGTCTAAGTGAAACACAATCCTTTGGCATGTTCATATTTAATATTGTGTTTATGTCTTGTCTGCCAGATATCCTTTACCTTATCCATCTTTCATGATAAAAAATCTAATAAACCTATACCTATCACAAACACATAAATTCATTATCTATCAATAAAAACTAAAGAATTTATGAAAAAAGTTAAGAAAAAGCAATGAAATGAACATATATTATTCTTAGAAGTATAATATATATGTATAATTTTTGAATAATATTGTTTACGTGAAGCATGGGAAATCAGGAGGTCAGGCAGTTCAAATGAATATAAAGGTTTCTTGCAAACGTATGCTCTCTACAAGAATCTGAATTAGAACAGAACATTCATAGAACATAGAAGGGTTGGAAGGGACCTTGGAGGTCTTCTAGTCCAACCCCCTGCTTGAGTAGACCTTACTAATGGTCAAAGCCAACTGGTGGTAGATAAGCATCAGTGGAATTCAAGATCAGTTGTGGGTGCAAAGGGACTTGAACTGGATGATGCATTTGACCCCTATCTTGGGCTCAGCCTGCTCATCTCCTACAATTTAATTTAATTTAAACCATGGACAATTGTATTCTGTTTAATAATAATGATAATGATGATGATGATGTTGGAAGGGACCTTGGAAGTCATCTAGTACAACTCCCTGCTCAGGCAGGAAACCCTATACCATTTCAGAAATAATAATAATCCAAATGCTGCAGAGAGCAGCTTTTTTCTCAATAATTCACACTGTTTTATGATCACTCTTGCATTTTAATCGGAATGCACCTGCCTGCTTGCAAAATAACATAATAATAATAGTAAAGTTGGAAGGGATCTTGGAGGTCATCTAGTCCAACCCCCTGCTTAGGCAGGAAACCCTATACCATTTCAGACAAATGGCTGTCCAGTCTCTTCTTGAAAACTTCCAGTGTTGGAGCATTCACCGCTTCTGGAGGCAGGTTGTTCCACTGATTAATTGTTCTAACTGTCAGGAAGTTCTCCTTAGTTCTAGGTTGCTTCAATGATATCAATGATATTTATTTACTGTATTTTAAAACCATATAATTTGAAGTGATTCTCAGTGGTTTACAAACTATTAAAACTAAACATATAATAAAACCTAGAAATAAAATTGTAACAAATAAATCACTGTAATATAGCCATAAAATGACACAAAGATAAACTTGGTGCCAACGTCACTTAATAACTGCAAAAAATAGACTTCAGAGGCCCTCCAGAAAAGCTGTCTTCATAAGTCTCTGAAAGATTGGATTGTGTGCTGACTAGAACACTGATACAAGAATATTCCGTAAGAGGAGGCTGCCAAAAAACCCTAAATTTCTGCACCCTCACCCCATTTTCCTTTCTTATATGTGGACAACCCTAAGCAACCTCTCCCTGAGTAAGTATACATTAAGAAGTTTATAGTTTCCAAGATCAATAATTAATATCAAATCCTTAATAACAGAGCACAACCAGGGAAACATGAATCACAGAGTTTCTTTAATTAGATTTACTGTCAGAAAACAAGGAGACACTTTTGGTGAGCACCATGATGAACTGATGCCGGATGTAGGTTGCCAAAATCTCTTTGGGGAAAGCAGATATCTCAAGATTACCCACATTTACTCTGTATAGTTCGTTTTTTGTGAGAAGATGGCAGGAACTGTGTTTTTGTGATCAACTTATGACTGACTAGGAATTCATCGAACTTATAGTTGCTAATGCAGTTTATATGGACTTTAGGTTCAATTGAGGTTCACCTCTTAATAATTTTGAATTTATTTATTTAATTTTATTGCTTAAAGATTGAGAACCTTCAGATCAGCAGGTCTTATTGAAAGCACTGAATTCTGTTTAATCCTTCAAAAAATAAGCTTTAACTTATTTTTAACAAGTTCAAAGATTTAAAAAAAATTGGAGGGAGCCTATAGCAAAAGGATGTTTAGTATTGACTTTAGAAAGTTTTTAACAGACTAAGAATATAAATGGACTTATTTAAGACTTTGAAGTTAATTAAAAGAACCCTTTCCCATGGGAAAATATCTATATATTTGGAAACAACTGATAACTTTGAAGGTTGGACACCACTGGACACTTTAAGCGAGGTCTACAATGAATGGAGGAACGTTGTCTATGGGGTCGCGATGGGTCGGACACGACTTCGCAATTAACAACAACAACAACAATGAATGGGTTTCAGGAAGCTATTTACTTTACTGAAGAATTAGAAGATGATACTGAAGAGGAACAAGCCCATTGAATAAAACTGAAATTGAATTGGTGGATTCAAAAATGATAGCCTATATCATTTTTGAATCCAAAAATGGATTCAAAAATGGAAATAGTGGATTTACAAATGAAACTAAATTATGATTTAATAAGTGAAAAAGACATACACATGGAAGAATGCTGTGGATTATTCCTCTACATTGGATTTATAAAAGGGACTTGTTGAAGCTGCCAAGGATTTTCTAAAAAAAAGCCAAGAAATCAACTCCACAAGAAGGCTAAAACTACTTTTATTGAAATTAACTATAACAAAATCTGGCACATCTGATTATGTTGTACCTTCTCTTTACTTTTCAATGAATTAGGGAGGTGTTTGTCTGACCCACTTGCAAATGTTATCTGGATGTTGTGGACTTAATGTATTTTATCCCATATTCGTGAGTTACTGAGCCTTCCTAGACTCTCCCCCAAGGCACAGAGACTGAAAGCTTGTAAGACAAATAGTAATGGAAATACCAATATGTCCAGTGAGGAAATCCAAGAGGAATATATCTTCTTGGGTCAGCCAAGTGGGATCCTTAACTTGTCCATATAGTTCAGCTGAATGCACAGACATTTACACCACACCATCTCAAAAGTAGGACCCCTGGTCACAAGATAAATTATTTCTTAAGAGCACAACCACCCTCAAGCCCTGGCATTGCTGCTGCTATCAGACACAAAACTCAGGGAGGAGAAATGTTCAAGAGGACCATAGCCCTTTTCTCCCCAACAATATATACCTTAGATCTATTTGTTCATCTACCACCAACTTACGAAAAAAAGTAATATTATCACAGATGGATCTAGCGTTCAGCAACAATAGATATAGTAATTTAAATACTATATGGTACATGTAATATTAAAACAGAACTTAAATGTTTTATTATTGGCAGTAGCATCTTCCTCAAAGACTAAAGTGCCTAGGAAGCAATACTAAAGACATTAAGATATTATCTTAATATCGGTGCTTAGACACTGCTCATCAACTACACATAAATGTAGTTGATGTTCTAGCCATTGAGGCTGCTATGTACAATAATAGAGAGCTGCTTCAACAGTCAGTCACTTCAAAATGTATCTGTTTCCACCTCCTTTACCTTTCAGGAAGCACAAAATTTCATAACGAATGAAAAGCATGTTCTCCATAGTTTTGCAAAAGTGGGAACCATATCCTTTGGAGGCTTAGTTTTTACTCGGGTTTTTACTCTCAGGTTTATGTCTATGGAGATTCTCAGTCATCCAGGTCATGGTTGTCCCAAAGATACTTTTTTGAGAGACAACTGGACTTCCTTGTTTTTCTTCGAAGACATTTCGCTTCTCATCCAAGTAGCTTCTTCAACTCTTGACTGGATGGTGGGGGTATGGAAGGATTTATACTCCTTGAAGACAGCTGGTCATTTGCATTCTTTTAGAGAGTCACTGAGGCCACTTGGAGGCTTGTCTGTGTCCTCAGGGTCACCTGAGTAATGCAAATGGGTGTGGAGCCTTCTTGGGACTGCTGAAAGTACTGTGTTGTGGAAAGCACTCCTGAATAAGCTTCTTGGATGAGAAGCGTCTTTCTTCAAAGAAAAACAAGAAAGTCCAGTTGCCTCTTGAAAAAAAGCCCAGGCTTAATTTTTACTTGAATAAT